ATTATTATCCTAATTTTACAGTTGAGGAAACTGAAGCAGAGGTTACATGACTTGCCCAAAATCACACAGCTAATAAATATCTAAGGCTAGTTTGGAACTCAGGTCTTTCTGACTCCAGGTCCAGTGCCATCAAGCTGCCTAAAAGAGTACAAAATGACATAAAAAAAGCTACAAAATAGAGATAATAGCACTCATCTCAAGGGTTGTTGTGAAGATAAAATGAAATGATTTATGTAAATAGCGATGCAGACATAAAACACTACATACAAATGTCAGCTATTACTAAATATTTCTCTGTCTCCCTTTTCCTGTCCCTCTCCCATCTTTAATGATCCCATTATATCCTATTCTATCGCATAGCCCTGTTAAGGAGTATAGAGTGGGAAAAAAGGATTTTCTTGACTTCAAGGCTCCACTGGCATGATTCTCCTTCCCTTAGAGACTAGTAACAATTACACTGTGAGAGGCAATTTTTTCCAAATATCACAGTTTGAAACTTGAAATATATTTTCTCCTAAAAGCAAACATTTTTAAGTGACAGCTTCTCAGACCAGTGTAAAAGGTCTACTTAACTCACAATACTGATGAAAGATTTAACAAGTGCAATAGTATTATTTTATGCTACTGTGTTCTTCATTGTAAATAGACAAGAGCTTATATAAACTGAGAGCTAAACTCAGAGACCTATAAGCCTAATAAGAACCCCCTCTAAAACACACATATCAAGTAGTTCTCCAACCTTTGCTTGAAGACATCCAGTGGGAGTGAATCCAGAGTCTCCCAAGGTTATCCATCACCTCTAAATGAGATAGCTCTAAATGCAAGGAAGTTTTTCTTTATCTGAAGTCAAAATCTGCATTTATGTAACTCCAGCAGATTTGCTCCTAGTTTTGCAGTAGGAGCCACGAAGGAAAAAGTCTAATTCTTCTTTCATGTAATGATCCATCAAACACATGAAAATACTTATAATGGCCCCCACAAATCTCTAAACATTCCCATTTCCTTCAAGCAATCTTCACATTATATGATCTTTAGGCCTTAACCAATCCTGATTGCTCCACTTAGGACAATACCTTGCTTTTTAAATGTCTTTCCTAAAATATGCTACCCCAAATTGAACACAATAATTCAGATACAGTTTAACTAGGGAAAAGAACAGTTGGAGAATCACTTTCCTACCTCAACACATTTATCTAAATAGACTAATGGATCAATGATCACTCCTACAGAACACAAGCTCTTTGAAAATGGAATTTTTCATATCTCTTTGTATTTCCCATGGCCTAGTACATATTACATGCCCAGTAACATACTTGTTGAATAAAAAAAAAAGTTAACAACTGAGACCCCTTGAATGCTAGCTCATACTGGGTGACTTCTGACTATGTCTTCCCGTAAATAGAGTACAGGGTGATCTGTTGTAGACTTTCTGCCAGGGCTAGTGATACTGCACACTCTTAAAAATCACTACAAACATTTCCTTGATCTCCACACTTTCTTGAAGTGAGATACTCGTTCACTGTCCTTCATATGAAAAGCTATCCCTAGAGAACTTCTCTGGCAAACTGATCATGAGGTCATACTCCAAAATATTACAGCAAATTCTTCAAAGACCTTAGTCAGTTGAAATATTTTCTCCAGAAGGGAAGACAGTAACCATCATATACCTTAAGATATCATTTTCATGCTTTACCTTAGATAAAACAATTCACTTCCTATGTGCCAAGGCTTATAAGGATACAAATCTCAGAGTTTTACCTAGTGTGGTAATTGGACAGCAAACACATAGTCTTTCATGAGACCTGAACTTAAAGCATTTCTTTATTTGATAGGAAAGAGCTTTCACAAAGCCAGAGGCACTTCCATGCCACAGAAAGTCAGTGAAGTACGACTTCAACGAAATATTTCAGATACTTATGAAGTGAGTTTTTTTGAACTTGTCTAGGATACATACCACAATGTATTTCTAAGGAAAATTAACTCTAGATACTAAAACACTGTCTAAAAATGAACTTTGGAGGACACAGTTCTTTTGTATGCTAGAAATTATAGAATAAGGTCCTAGCTCTGTTTCTAGCTCTCAGGACTTTGCCACCAAATGCCACAGCTGTCCCTTTATCCTAGAACTTTCTCCAGGACAGGACCTTCTCACCCTGGAACCTACCTCCACCTCTCCAGCCCCCTTTTCCCATTGGTGAATTCCTCTAGGTGTTTCCATTTGGGGAAAGATCTATCTTTCTATCTTTTTATCCTTCATCGCCCTCCTGGTTCTGCTTTTGACACAAGGATTTTACCACCATGACCCTACCCACATGTATAATTCCTACTCTACCCTTTCTAGCTCTATTTTGTATGACGACTTTCATTTAAAATGTGGGCCCCTTGAGGGCTGAGAGTCTCTCTTTCTGCTTGTATTTTTGTATCCCTAGTGCTTACCACAGTGACTTGCACACAATAATCATTTAATAAAAACACTCTTGCCTTGTCATTAGAAAGACTCATCCAACAAGAAAAACCTAAGCTTGAAGTACTGTTGTTGTTCAGTCATTTCAGTCATGTCTGACTCTTCATAATCCCATTTGGGATTTTCTTGGCAAAGATACCAGAGTGGTTTACTATTTCCTTCTCCAGCTCATTTTACAAATGAGGAACTAAGGAAAACAGGGTTATGTGACTTGCCCAGGATCACACAGCTAGTAAGTATCTGAGGCCAGATTTGAACTCACAAAGATGAAGCCTAAGACTCTATCCACTGTGCTGCCTAAGTTTACAGGAAACAAAGATAATTTCATTTTTTTTTAATCTATTATCTTCTGGTTAACAAAAAAAAAAAACAAAAAACCTGTGACCAGTAGATTATTTGTTTTTTTGTGTATAAAGTAACTCTCCATAGTCAAAGAGATTAACAGCATTACTCATATAAAATATTCATGACTAACAGCTGAGAATTCTATTGTAATGAGTAAAAATCAGGTTATTAATGATATAAAATGGATATGGATCTCCAATGACAGGCACAATTCTATATTATAAAACCCTGCATTTTTAAAAGAAGCCCACCACACTAGTAGACTTTCGGTCATATTATTCACATTAGGAATTCTGTTCTTATTTTTGAGACATTTCTTCCTCAGGATCATAAAACTAATGTCATCCAAGGACGGCTCATTTCTATTTCTCTCAGAAAGACCCATAATCTGAACATGAGCAAACAGTGAACAAAATCCCTAATGGTCCCGTCAGCATACATTTTTCATAAAATGATTATCCCTTTGCAGCCTCAGCTTCTTAAGCCTTTTTCCCCTCCTATAATTGTTTTCCTGGTAGGCTAGGCAACAATTACCACTGTTACACAGGACTGAGTATGTTCACAAGCCATATATTTTACAATACATAAGTGTAGTGTCTCTGATATCTGGTGCTTTTATCACTAATTGCACTATAAAGCGTGCTATTAAAACTGGGACAAACAAGACTGTAAAAATCACATAATGGACTGTAATCATTTTATAAAAGACTTTTGTAAATGACAATTTATTTTTTAAGTTTCTAGTTATATAATGATTTTTCTATATTTTTGTTTCCAGAGGATAACCTGAAGAAAGTTATTTATATTTGAAAATATATGTTATATGCCTGTTTTTCAAAAAAAATACCTCAAAATTAAATATCAGAGAAAACTTTAAACAATGTCATATGTCCAAATCTATTACTTAATATTAATGGTTTACAAACCATGTTACATAAAAACAAGGTTCCAATAGACGGTCTATCTGTGTGGCTCTTTCAAAGAAAATGTGGTCATGACAGTCAAGTTTAAGTTATGGCTTCTTCCATACCCTCTAGGGATTAGGGATAAAGGAAAGAAAAATGATGCAGAAAAGGTTCAGCCTTCTAACATCCAAAAGCCATGACAAAACATAATTGTCAAATGTTATACTTCAGGGAAACAGAACTGGCAACAAGGCATTATTACCAATTACTACTGGAAATCCAAAATTACCTATGTCTCATATATAGTCAACTCAATTTTTCCTGGGCTAAATTTTCAATTTGTGAATTATAAGCCTTTTATTCATTTCAATGTTCACATTTCTTGCTCCAGAGGATAAGTAGCACATGGGGAAAAAATGTTATAAATTCAAATCAGTCATTTTTGCTACTTACTAACAGCACTGCTAAAAGGTTAAGAGAGGTAGAGATTTTAACTATTGACTCAAATGAGGTCTGGGGATTATCTCTAGATTTCAATTATCCATGCTATCCTTGTCCTTCATTCCCAGAGAGACAGTTGCATCGCGACTCTTATAAGAAAACATTAAAAGTGCCACAGAGCACATCTTACAAAGTGAACAGCGACATAAAAGCTATAGAACAAAAGAATAATTATAAAATTCATGAAAGACAATGCAACTTATACTTTTTATCTGGATTATAGGCATCATGTTAAGAAAATATTGAGTTGGGTTCCTTGTTATGGAATGTAACAAGTAAAATTCAAACATATTTGGGGAAATTCAAGCATTTTCTTATATTCTTGGGATTAATGGCCTTAATGAAAGCAAAATGTCAGATTTAAAACAAATGATTAGTAATTTATGAATTTGCTAAATGACATTCTTTCCTGAGGATAAATCAACTTGGATTCAAGCATTAGCCAAAATATGCTAAAATAAGAGATGTTACCTATTCTAAAATGCTACTAGTGATATTAAAAAGTCATATGCATTTGAATATTTAGAACCTACTTTTTAAGTCACTGAAATTTAAGGTTTCACAATGATGTTTGAAATACTCCTAAAAGAAAATATATATAAAATATGTAACCTACAATAAAACATAGAAAATGAGTTACCTTCACGATAGTTTTCTTCAAGAAGTCTAAGACAAATGCTAAAAACTCTTAAATTTTATATATATATATATATATATATATATATATGTATATATGCTACTAATTTGAGAACTAAGTAATTCACGTATTCATAGACAAAACTTACTTTGTCAGATGCTTCAGAAGCCAAGAGATTAGTGGCAAGGGTTTGTAGCTTGTGATGGGCCATATTTTTTAGAGCAGCAAGACTACGTCTTGTCATAGCCTGTTTTAAATTAATAGCTGGATGACTAAGAGAATCGACTGCAGCAGGAACTGCTTCATCACAAGCATTCAATATCTCGACTGCTGTAATCCCCATCACACAACGATCCAGTGCACCTTAAAAAAAAGGAACATTTTAAGTATATTGCATTATATTAAAACCTCAATTAATTTACTTAAAACAATAAATAAAAAAATTTTAATCTGCAACATGTCCGTCAGTGATTATCTCAAATATTACTCTGGACTTCATCAATTCCCTACTCCAATGTTCAAAACGAATGCATCTTTCTCCCTAGGCAATTTCACTAAGTTACTACTACCTGCCTGTAAAGCCCTTGTGTGGCTTTCCATTCCACTTCAGCTATAGACAAGAGAAAAACCTTTTCTAGGCTGTCACCACATTTCCTCCACAATCACCAAGGAAATTTACTTTTTTTTTTTTTTTTTTTTAGGCAACTGGGGTTAAGTGACTTTGCCCATGGTCACACAGCTAGTAAGTGTCAAGCATTTGGTCTGAGGCCGCATTTGAACTCAGGTCCTCCTGACTCCAGGGCTGGTGCTCTATCCACTGCGCCACCTAGCTGCCCCCAAAATTTACTTCAATAATTCTATGTGCAGAGCACAGTGTTTGGTGTTGAAGGACCTTACCTTCTCCACCAAACACACAAGAGTCCTTGGCCTCAATATGTGTTACAATTTACCTGCTTCATGATCTCTTAAACCAATCATTCTATTCCCAACCTTTAAGTTTTCACTCAAGTTGATATGTATGGCTGGAAAATCCTTCCCCTACTAACCATATTGTTATCTTCCCTCCATTTACACAACTCACAAAGTCTCATTTTTTCCACAAAAGTATCTTGGACTACAAGATGAGTGGATAAATGTCTCTCTGGAGGCATTCTCATAGCTAAACTTAACCATTCCCAAGATTCTGGCTAAATCCAATCTTTTTCTTAATGTGCTTATAAAACAACAAGAAAATTTCAAAATACCTGTTTGCTCTTTTTTTTCATGTATATACCCTGTTTTTGGCCATCTATTCAATGTAATTCAATAAATATTCATTCAGCACTTTCAAAGCATTGTGTTCAGACAACAGGGATCTAAATACCAAAAAATGACAGTCCTCCAAAAAGAGCTTAAGTTCTATTGGGAAAGATACCAAATGTACTCATGGAAAGCAGACTATGATGGAAACAAATGAGAGATGCAGACAAATGGCTTTAGGAAAATTTGAGGAAGGAAAAAACATTTTCAGCTAAGAGAGATTCACATGTCTCCATCAGGCTACCAAACACTACTCTCCCAGCAGGCAGAGAAACATTTAGCCAAATGCTACCCACAGAGAGATCTTCAGGTGTCACTTTAGATGATGACAACGTAGGCATTTTTTCAAGACCATTTCAAAGCAAGATTGAATGGTTTGGGGCAGGAGTGGGGGGTGGGGAGGGGAAATTATAGAAGGCACTATACAAGCTTGACTATTAACATGAAAGCATGTTTTCTGGTAGTTATTGTTCATCGTTTGTTCTCAAAGAGGACCAATGATATCATGGGGTGATACCTTGAATTGTGCAAGAATTGGACTTAAGTGAAGCAAACCTCTGCAAAGTCATCAGCCTCACTCTCTCCTCCAGAGTCATCAAAGTCCAGTAGCAAGACAAACGTCAAGATGACTGGCAATATAACAGACAAGAACACGAGACCAAGACCTGGCTTTGAGTACCAACTGTACCATTTATTGTGTGTGAGAGATCTTACTCAACCTCCCTGCGGTTCAATTCCCTCATTTATAAACAGATAATGCTTGCAAAGCCCTCTAAAAAAGAAAGATAATATGAAAATATTTTGTAACCATAAAGCACTATGTATAAAATAATAAAAAATAAGAATAGTTTACATCTATGTAGCACTTGAAGGTTTGCAAAGTACTTTATGCATGCTAACTCACTTGGTCCTCACAGCAACTCTGTGAGGTAGATGTTATTATTATCTCTATTTTAAAGATAAGGAAAATGAGCCTGAAAAAGGTTAAGTGATCTGTCTATGGTAACACAACTAAGAGGTATCTCAGGCAAAATTTGGACCCAGGTCTTCCTGACTCCAACTCCAGAGCTCTAGCTCCTATACAACCTCAATTCCTCTTAAACACAGTAACATAATGTTAGATAAAACCAAAGATCCCCGTTCCCAGGAGAAAGGCTCACTACTAGGTTAAACGAAAAAAGAAAAACTACCACAAAAGCAGTTTGGCAGAAATTAGATGCAGACCAATATCTCAAACCATATACCAAGATAAATTACAAATGACATTTTACTTAAGACATAAAAGGTGACATTATAAGCAAATTAGGATGAAGAAATTATCTGTTTTACAACTATGAATAAGGGAAGATGATGAAACAAGGAAGAAAAAGGATGACATAAAATTTTCAAGGTTTTGTATGAACAAAAATTTTAAATAGGCAACTAAAAAAAATTTTACAAGAAGTCTCAGTTAACCCTTTCCAAGATTGATAAGAAATTGATTCAACTTTATAAGAATGTGAGTCATTCCTCCAAAAGGTAAATTATTAAATCATATTAACAGGCAGTTTTCAAAAGAAAAAAATACAAGCTATCAATAGCCACATGAAAAAATGTAACAACTCACTAACAATTAGAGAAAAGTAAATCAGAGCATCTCTGAGATATCATCTCATCTCCATCAAATAGACAACAACGACAAATAATGAAATATGTCAAATTTTGGAGGGGCTACAGAAAACAGGCATACTAAAGTACTGTTGGTAAAACCAGTAAATGGTTTAGCCATCTGGGAAAACAATCTAGAACTATGTCCAAAAAGTCACAAAAGTGCATGGTCTTGGGCTTGTAGCCCAAAAAGAGCAAAGAAACAGGAAACTGATTCGTATGTACAAAAATATTTATATTTATATCATTTATTTACTTATATCAGCTCTTCTCATGATGGCTATGAACCAGTATCTGGGGGGTGTGCCAATCAGGTAAGGAATGACTGAACAAATTAGAATATATGAATGTAATGGAATACTATTGTGGCAAAAAATTACGATGTAATGGATAGTGTCAGAGAAAACATAGAAGATATGTATATGCTGACACAGAGTGAAGTGAACAGAACCAGGAGAATAAATGTACCAAACAACTCAACCCAATAATCCACCACTCCTGTAAAAGGATGTAACAGAGTCCAGAGTCCCAATATTTAGATTCCTCATGTCACTTCCTCCATATCATCTACCTATTTATCTTGATGAGTACAACCCATGCTATGAAACTGAATTAAGGATCAGCATGAGATGCAATACTGGGAAAGAACCTGTATTTACAAAAATATAGCAGCAACTTTTGTTGTTGCAAAGAACTAGAGCAAGAAGAATATCAATAAAAGAACAGCTGAACAAATTATGGTATATAAATGTAATGAAATATTATTGAACTATAACAAATAATGAAAGGGAATGAATGATTCAGAAAAATAAGGCAAGGCTTATATGAAATGATGTGGAATGAAATGACATCACTAGGAGTCAAGTCAATAAACATTTATTAAGGACCTACTATGGCCAGGCACAGTACTAAGCACTGTCTTTTATATACTAACAGGAACAATATAAAGGAAACAACTTTGAAAGACTTTAGAACTCTTATCAATGCAATGACAAACCACAAGACCAAAGATAACTCAAACTACTCACCTTCTAACAAAGAGGTGACAGAGTTTATCAGATAGACTCAAAATGTAGAATGAGATATGTCTTTCTGGAGATAGACAAAGAGAAAATTTGCTTCACTTGATACAGAACTCATTATCTTTCTCTCTAAACCCTCCATTTCTCGTACCGCCATATTACTGTCAAGGGTAACATCAACCTCTCAGGCTCCCAGACTTGCAATCTAGAAGTCATCCTAGACTCCTCACTATCTCTTAGCCCCATATCCAAGCTGCTGCCAAGGCTTGTCGATCTCACCTTATGCAACATCTCTCAAATATACCCCCTTCTCTCCTCTGACACTGCCAGTACTCTTGTATAGGCCCTCATCGCCTCATGTCTGGACTATTGTAATAGCCTATCACTGGATCTGCCTGCCTCAAATCTCTCCTTATACCAATCCATCTGCCATTCAGTCACTAAAGTGATATTACTAAAGCACAGATCCTATCATGTCATCCTTTCACTCAATAAACTCCAGTGGCTTCATATTGCCTCCAAAATAAAATACAAAATCATCTCTTTGGTATACAAAAACCTTCATAACTTTGCTCTATCTCAACCTTTTCAGCCTTACACTTCATTCTCTACCACCTACTCTTCAATCCAATGACACTGGTATCCTGTATGTTCCACAAACAAGACACTCCATCTCATCTCCAGGCATTTCCACTGTCTGTCCCTCATACCTGGAAGACTCTCTCCTCATCACTGTCTCCTTACTTCCTTGTGTTTCTTCAAATCCCAACTAAAATCCCATCTTCTTCAGGGAGTCTTTACCATTCCCTCTTAATTTCAGTGCTCTCTCTCTGTGAATTATTTCCTAATTATCCTGTACATAGCTTCTTTGTTATCTCCTCCATTAGATTATAAGCTCCTTGAGGACAGGAACTGGGTTTTTTGCATCCCCAGCACTCAGCACAATGCCCAACACATATATGCACTTAAATGTTTACTGACTGACTGGACTATGCATATTTGTTGCAAAAGTGCTTTTTTTTTCCAAATGAAAGAGAGTGAGTAGATAAAAGTTATAAAGAAAATAAAGAATACTTAAAAAACAATATAAAATGTAAGACTTTAAAAAAAATAGTTCTCCTTTTTCCTCTATAATGCCTTGAGCAATTTTTCATACACAGTAAAAGGTTAATAAATCCTGGTTGAATGAATATTTTGGAACCACGCAGTCCAGTCCCATATTTTCTTCTTAGTGTTAAATGATCACAAACCTATCCACCAAACATACCCACACACTCAAATGCTATCATTAGTTGCCTACAGATCATCCCATGTGTACAGGGGAGGCTATGAAACAATTTGATAATAGCTGATACAGAGTATTCGATGGAAACTTTATCCTAAGACAGAGTAATG